ATGGAGGAAAGGGAGGATCAGCTGGAAACGTAAGTCATTAATTCTTATATGAATTGGTCGGAGTAAAAAACGTGTGAAGACAGAGCTTAGGTTACCATTGCGACCGTATGAGAAGACGCAAATATGCGTTTTTTACTTCAGCCTCCATCTACCTACTGGGTGCGTCCAATTTTTACTGACAAGAAACTGAAACTGACTTCTCTATCCATTGTAAGAACGAGTTTATTAAAGGCTTTCTTCCACCATTTTCATTCAGATTGGTATCCATGCTGGGGGTGGGGGTCAGTCGTCTTGCCCAGGAGGACATGGTGGCAATGGAGGAAGTGCGGGGAAATGGCCTCCTAATCAGGCTCCCCACTGCTACGACAAGTCAGCATCAGGTGGTAACGCAGGCTCATCTAGCTCTGGAGGTGGAGGAGGTAATTTTTAGGTCATGTTACTTATACTGTGTAGTCCATTACACTGGAAAGCCTTTTAAGAGATGACGAAGGTTTACTTGCCTAATGCTATTTATAGCTTAAATCGTTATACTGTAATCAAGGTAATGGATGATATTGGTATTTTTTATTCGATTTTAAGGTGATTCTTGTGGCAATCATTACGGTGGAGGTGGTGGAGGAGGTCAGTAAACAATTCTTTTTGTGTTTTTCCTCAACGTGATCGAAACCAAGATACTTCAGTCAGCTCTATTGGTTAGATGTTGAATTTGAGGTCGAATGTGACTAGGGATTTGGGCTCAAGCATCCATAAGTAACATTTCGATTGAGCGCTGTAAAACAAAAGCAAAAGCAATAACAGCGTTCGATCGTAACAACAATAACAACACCCATGATCAAATTGCAATTGGTTTTAGTTGTGCATCTGATTGGCTGAGAGAATGGCACGAGTTTTGTAGACCAATTAAAGAGCGAGGTGAAGGAAACCATTTGAAACCGTCGCAATTTCGGATTATCTTAACCATTGAAAGAGAGGTATGCTCCAGATAACATACAACTTTCATAACTCTTGGCCGGACTTTCAGCACAGTTAAAGACAATCTTTGAAAGGTTTAGATTCTCAAAATGCAGTCGATCTTGTAGTTTAGCGGCGGAGACAAAACCTAAATGATTTCTGGTATTATTTCTCTTCCAAATTGAGCGATCTTTGGTTTGTTGCCAAAGTGGACTATTTACGATCTTTTATATTTACGTCAACGTCTTAGATCTTTCATGGACTGAAATGACGAGGTTTTATGACAAATTTCAATGTTTTCAAGCAAGGAGACTTCTATGAATGAATCTCTTACCCACCGCAAACTTAAGTGTTCTGGAGAAATTCGTTCTCTGTATAGATAAAAAAATAAATAAATAACACATATGCAACTGACCTGGGAGCATTAATGACACCTTCAGGGTCCACGGGGGGCCGCTATTATTATGTTTATATTTAGGCGGACTCCAGTTTGGCCATACCAACTTCACGACTCACCTGAGCTACGGAGGGGGAGGTGGAGGGGGAGGAGCAAGTGCGTTCAGTGATGACCCCAACTCTGGAGGAAAAGGAGGAAGTGGAGGAGGGCTGGTGTATTTACAGGTTGGGAAACTGGAACTACGAGGGACCATCAGTGTAAAAGGTATGAACCAGAAAAGCATAAAACCCACCCCTCCCTCCCGAAGTCTCAACCCTTTAGCTCCCAGAAGCGATTAACAAGTAACTTCCATGTATTATTCATACATTACCCAGTAGACAGGTAATGAGAATGCTGTTTTATTTCAAACTAAATTCTCACAGCTTACTTACATAGAAATTTGCAGTAGATAGAGGGAAGAATTAAAAACCAGATCTTGGGAAGTCAATGGGTAAACTTAGAATCCTTCTTCTTAGAGAATTGTTGTTGAAAGTTTTTCGATAACGTTCAAACCATACCTTATTCCAGACCTAAATGGTAAAAATCGATTCCCTTTTCAGACCCAAATGAGTAACAAATAAGATAATTGAGTTTATTGGTCAAAGACGGCACCCTCTGAGCTGCAAATGCCTGGAGAATGTAAAGGAAAGCAGTAAAGGCCATAATTAAAAGTGATAAATCGTTCCATATTGTAAATCTACGTCCTGGCTGTTTTATGGAGCTAATACTTTACTTTTTACGCAGGAAACTCTGGACAATGTCTCAATCAGAAAGGTCACAGATCAGCCCCTGGGGGAAGTGGCGCTGGGGGCAGTGTTGTCATCTTTACCAAGAAACTCATCGGAGATCCGAAGAGTAAAATTTCCGTTTCCGGAGGGGATCCTGTAAAATGTGCTTTTGGAACTGGTGGTGGTAAGCAAACAAAGTCCTTTGCAAACCATGCCGTGAGAACTGCTTAGTGAAGCTCAGTAAATATCGGTCCACCCAAGCTTTTGGTCATAGTAGACGCTCTGGTAAAAAACCTTGACTTATGGCAGATGGGTTTAGGGTTCAAAGATCTAAAATTGTACGGGATGAGAGTTTAGGGTACGGTACGGGATGAGTTATCGCAACCCGCGGGATCGGAAAGATAAGAGCTTTCCAGAGAACCAGAGGTCAGGCTCTTTAAGATGAAAGCAACATTATAAAATGTATTTTAACAGGAATTTTACGTTTTAGAACAGTATTAAGAACCGGCCAGTACTGCTAAGTACGCATTCAGGAACAGAAAGAAGTAAAAGACAATCTAGAAAACAATTTTGGATAACTTCGAAATGAGCGGAGGTGGATCTAAAATAAGTGATTTTTAGGATTTATATTAACTAACTTCACTTTTCCTCGCGATCATAAGCCCTTCGTACCCTAACATGGGTCTCCATATTCTCCATACAGTACGCTAAACAGTTTCTAAGAGCGCTGACAAGGAGAATTTTTTCACCCATCAAAAGCTTCTCTAGATAATTCCTTTTGACCTTTGATTCAGCAACGATACTGTCAGTAAGAAAAAGATCCTTTACTTTAGGGGTCATTCACAAGTATCATTATGCGGCGATTGATGTGGTTCTCTCTCGATGATGTGGAAGATAGAATTATTAATATCTAATCAATTGATTTTCCAGGTGGTGGTGGTGGTATCGGACGCTGGGTTGTACAGGAAGGTCAATCCACCCATCACAGCTAAATCCGTCATGGACCTTAAAAAGACTAAGCCGAAACAAGTGAAGAGTACCGCTAAGAAGTTCCTTGCTTTAGATGAATTGTTCTCTGCTGTATAAGCGTAGTGTATCGGAATTAAATAAGCTGTAGTTGAAGTAACAAATAAAATTAGTTGAATCTAGTCAAAGTCTTGAGGATTTATGATACCGAACGATCGAGCCTATTTATTATTTTTTTTTTTTTTCAGGCCTACGAACAGACGCTCATTATCAGTACTTTGGTACGAGCTTTCCTTTGCCCGCCAGGAATTATGGGGCTTTGAGCTACGCGAAGCGATGAGAGGTCTGCAGGGGATCCCATTATTAGTCCCAGACTCTCTCACCTCTCCTAGACTCGTCTCAAATCTTCCCGCGTGTGGAGAAACGCGCGTTCTCGAGCACTGATAATGAGGACATGCTCGTAAGCTATTTCTTTTCGTGGCAGTCATTCAAGCAAGTCTTATCCAGGTCTTTACCCTCTCTGTTTTTTTTGTTTTTGTTTTTTTTTTTTCCGAGGCAAGTACTGATCAATGGGAAAGGAAAAGCAACCACCTCAACGGCTCTGAACTTTCTACCGTTTAAGATTAATAATGGTAATAGGACCAAGTGGAGTCCGATTTGGTCTGTAATCATACGAGTGATTATCAAAATCGTCGATTTGTCTATCACGAGTACGATTACTGACAGAATTGGACGACCAATTCCTGTTACAAATTAATCTAAACCGTTACAATTTCCGAAAAAAAAATCTACGACAAATATCTCCGATAGAGATGAATAGACAACTTCAACCAATTGTTCATCAACCCTATGTAAAAGAAGGTTACAAAAAACTTTCAGAGGAAACCAAAGGCGAAAAATAGGTCCCAGCATTTTTTATAAGCAAAATTGGAGAAAATCAAAATACCAAGCAGTTGATAAGTTGCCACGTAGAAAATCCATAGGATAAAAAAAACCATATCACTCTGTTCACTAACTGCTCTGCCCGAAAAGTAACTTTCCGTAAGCTCCATCTTCCACAATCCAGTTTA